GGGGGGTTTGAGTCGAGGGATGACATGCTCTGTGTTGTGTTTTGCAGGATACGGACAACTGTGTGGACACCCAGCCTTGCCTACCCATTGTGACAGGCTCTTCTGTAGCTGGTGAGCACCTTCTTTCCCCCTCCTCCCATTTTGCTCTCTGCCCACAGGAGTCAGGACCATGCACACCCGAGGCCTGCCCTCTGCCAGAGAACCTGCTCCATTGGCAGCAGAGCACGTTTCCCATGGCTGGGAAGCTACAGTGTAGCAAAGGGCTGTGCGAGAGGTCTATATTCAGGCCCTGCCCCAATTTCAAAGACCCAATTTGCCATAATTGGGGTGTTCACTTGGATAGGTATAGCAAGGTAGAGGAAAACTAGAGAGTAAGTCCGAGAGTTTCTTGCCTGGATGTCTCATCATTGTCTTCCGGAACCAAAGTCCTGCTGGTCAGAGCTGACAGTGCCGCCTCTGTGACTAAGAGTTTGGGAGGTGCTCGGAGGGTCACCAGGCTGACCATCATCTACTCTCTTCTCCCTCCTCTGGGTGGTCCTATGTTGTGCCACCGTGAGCGCAACTTCAGGGGGCAGCTATCCCATGCCTCCTGTTTCCACCGGAAGAGTTCCTTCTGGAAATCTAATTTCCATTCTTCCTACCTCTCTCTAATGGGTGGCACACCCACCTTGAAGCAATCTGAATTAGCCAGAAATAGGAAATCCAGTTCAGGAATGTAGGATTTCATGCCGCTTTCCAGGTTCCACTCCACAAGGCCAAGAAGATGCACTTGTTGGATGGCACCCTGCAGAGCCGTCCTGTTCCTGCCCTGGGGTGATGCGGGCCACCAAGGATTTGCTGGGTTGGTTCCACTCAGCAATCCTGGGGGTTGGGGGAGGTACCAGTGCCTGGATACCAAGATTTGGGTTCCACAGACCATGATTCTGGAATGTCTGGAGGTGGTGCTCCAGCATCTGACTCCAACCGGGAGCTTTAGTCTCTTCCAGAGGCCAGTGGCTTCAACTGGGAAGGTGATAGTAAGAAACCCACTAGGGCTTTAGACGGCCAGGGCAGTTACTTCCTCAGTGAAACACTGGACTCTCTGGAGGCAATGAAGCACAGTTGCTCAAAGCTTGGGGGTTTTGGGTCAACTGATCTTGGTTCAAATCCCACATCTGTTTTCTTTCTATAAGCAAGTTTTTCCTCTAAGAGCTCATATCCTTATCTGTAGAATGGAGTTTGCTCCTTGGTGATCATGAAGATTTTTTGAAATAGAGCCTGCAATTTCTTATGGAGTGATAATAATCATGTCATGGAGGGGTAATTACTGGTTTTCTAACATTCGTTACCAGTGCTCTAAGCCCTAAGCTCTTACCTTCCCTTTCCTTTCTAGCTTTGCTCCTGTTCTTTGGGCCAGCCATCCAGGAAATGTGGCGCTTTCCAGTAGGCCCTATTCTGCTAGTCAGGGGTATCTTCAGATAATTTTGGAGGGGAAACTTTTAAAGTAGGACATAGGATTTCTTGGGATGTCTGCATTGCCTCATGAAAGCAAGTGAGGCCACCTGGAAGCTCCAGAGCTTTTGTACCCTGGAAACTATGAATTCTTGCAATCCATGACTGTCACTTTGGGACCACCGCTCCTGGTCCCCAAATCAGCAAGAAGTTTCTGGCAGGGAGACAATATTATGTTGTGTGCAGGCAGTGTTATGCCACCAGGGGGCGCTGCTTTACTGGTCTCTTCCCCACAGTCCAAGGAGGCTGAGGGGAAGCCACATGGAGCCCTGGGAGGCAGGCTTAACCTTGCAGAGGCTTGGGCGCTGTGGGCAGCTAGCCTGGACTTTAAAGGTCTGCCACCTGGCATGACCAGGTGGGAATGACAATACTAGAGACCCTGCCTCTGGGCCTTTTACAGTTTCCCTTTTATTCCTGAACACATTATCCTCTCTTACCATGCCCTGATAACGAACAGGTTCAGAGAAGGGGCTGCCCAAATTCACAGCTGGTAAGTGGCAAAACAAAGATCCCTTCTAGCTTTGCTTGATGCCAACTCTGAGCCTCTGACACTTGACCTGAGGCATTTCCCCATGGCAAGGGAAAAGGAGTGTGTCCTGGGATACTGGCAATGGCAAGAGACCCACTCTGCCACCACTCAGCACAGCTGACTCTTCCTATCTCCTCCGCATCCCTCTCCCCACCCCACAGGATCACAATGGAATCTCCTCTAATTTCGGGGAGAATTGCTGAGCAGGATTGGCAGGAGTGGAGCCACTGATACTCAACCAAGACATGTGGATCTGGAGTGTAACCTGGCCTATTTATGGTCAGTTTTTAGTCCCGCCACATGCCCAAAGTATCCATGGGCACCCCAGCCTGTACCCTGAATCCAGGGGCAGATACTTGGAGCAAAGTGTCAGCTCTACATTATGCACCACGCTCAACGCTGCAGATGTGGCCTTGTGCCCTCATACCCACAGTACATGGCTGTGATCATTCTAGAGGCAACCGAGGTTCAGAGTGCCTTAGCAGCCTTGGGCAGAAGGGCGGCTTTCCCTCTGTCTCTGCCACTGGGGTACACGCAGCAGGAGTGGGAGGGCCTCTGTTTGCGACCTGGAGAATGTAAAGAGCAAGAGGTTGCTGGTCCTTCAGCAATACTTTGAAGATAGGGAGGAAGGAAACAGAGGTCTTTCAGGAGCTCACAAGTCCTGGACATCCACAGGTCAACAGTGGAGGATGAGCTGCAGCATTAATTGTGAGCCAGATGTGCAGACATCAGTGGGCAGGGGGCTACAGTGATGTGCCAAGGCTGATAGGAGGAGGGGAGACAGCAGAAAAGGGGAGACTCAAGTGGTCATCTGGGGTCAAGGGAGAAAGAACATGTTCTGCAGAGGGAAGATGTGAGGGGCCTGAGAGCAGAGGCTAGGAGGGAGGGTCCCAGGTGGTGGGGTTGAAAAGCAGGACAATGGGGGTCCTCCCTGGAGCACACCTTTGGACTTCAGGCTAGGGATAAGGTGCAGATGCTCAGTGTCCTGAGAAAAGGGTAACTCAGGGAGTACACAGAAAAAAGGAGGCTTAATATTTACTATAGTTAGAAAAAAGAGTGCCTCTCTTTGTGTGTGTGTGAGAGAAAGAGAATATGGATGGGTGTATGTGTGGATGTTTGAAACCTAATGTCACAGTTCTTTGAAATCCATGATCTCTCTTTATTCTCCCCACTATCCTGAGAGGTTGGCTGAACAGAATTAACATCTTCAAGGACAGGTGAGAAAACAGACCCCCAGGGGGAAAACAGACACCCATGGTCGTGGGTGTTGGTAGCCAAAAAGCAAAGGTCCAGTTTGGGATCCTGACCTCAGGTCTTTGCTCCTGGCCGCATGCCACCCCCTCTTCCTCCCATCCCAGGGCATTCTCCAGGGCTGGAGAGAGGGCATTCTGCTCTGAATTGTTCCTGGAGAAACCCCACTGATCCAGTGGGTTGGAAGTGGGAGTGGAGGACAAAAAGCAGAAAGGCGAAGCTACCTGTGGCTGCAGAGGCCAGAACCCAAAGCCATGGTCTGTCTTCTCCTCCCAAACTGCTGTTAGTACCCACCACCACGAGGAGAGACTGCCACAGGGCATGGACAGAGAAATGTATTGGCACTGCAGGGCCTTAGAAGCCTGGGCACACTAGTTTGGCCTTCTTTCTCTAGCATCTCCATGGGTGTATGTCAGAGGACCAAGGGTCTGGGGAATGGACGTCTGTCTGCTCTTTGCCACATCCATCGCACTGTCCATGCTCTGCACAAATGTAGTCAGCTAAGCTTCACAGTTAGTGCTTCCATGACATAGAGGAGGACAGAGAGGCTCAGAGACTTGCTTGAGGTCGCTCAGCTTTGTGAACCAAGCAAATCTGCCTCTAGGACCTATTTTGCCTCAACTGCTGCAACTAATAACAAGCTATCACTTGATTAGTTTCCCCTATGTGCCCGGTGCTCTAATCCTCACAGCAATTAAGTGCTGTGACTTAGGTGGTGATTTTTTTTTTTTTTAATTTTCTCATTTTGAGATGAGCATATGCCGCTTCGTGGGTAACCTGGGGTGAGATGATTTGGGCTTCTCACAGATGCTAAGTCTGCCTGAATTCTAGGCACCCTTCTCCTCAGCCTCCTTGGCCTCTTTGACTCGCTGTGTGACTGTGGGAAAGCAAATACCTTTTCGGAACCTTCCTCTCTCTCCTCTGGCATTTTACTGCGGGCTTCTCTGCTCCAAACTGGACAGGACCGTAGTGTCCTGGGAGTGAGGGCCAAGAGCCTCTCCCTTCCCTCACTGACCCCCCCAAAAGCCGTCGCTTTTCTCCCCCTTTCGACTGTCGACTTGGGGTGGAGGGGAGGCACAGGAGGTGCTGGATGCCAGCGGTCCGCGAGAGGTCAGCAAGGCCGGCTAGAGAAGACCCAGCTCGGATTTGGGGGTGGGCCCAAGGGCTCAGAAGCCACGTGCTCGGAGCAGGACGGTCGGGAGCTTACCGTCCTCTGGGAACACCCAAGCGCCCCCGATTTGAGCAGGGGCGGGGGGCGAGAGCGGGAGGAGGCAGGTTCTGGGAAGAAGGGGTGGGGGTGGGGGGAGGCAGAGAGGACGCGGACAAAGGAGGCGGCCGGCGGCCCAGCTGTTTTGAAAAATGCTTCCTGTTTCTTTAAAGGCGCTCGCGGCTCGGGCGGCCGGGCTGGGGAGGCGGCGGCGGCGGGAGCTGCCTCCTCTCCGGGCGGCGGCGCTGACTGATCTCGCGAACTGGGCTTCTGTGTAAACTGAGGCTAAACAAACACAGATGGAGCGCAGCGGGCGTTCTCCAGAAATGCTGGCACGGCGGCTGCGACTTCAGATGACACTCTGAGCGCTCCGGGAACGGACAGCCCGGCGGCTTCGCGGAGCCGGCGGCGCAGCTGCCCCGGGCGAGGGGGAGAAAAGGAGGGAGGGAGGGAGGGGGAGGGAGAGAAAAGGGGGGAGAGCCGGAGACTCCGAGGCGCTGAGCTCGGCGGCCGCCCGGGCAGAGCCGGCGCGCGGCGTGCAGAGCGAGCGCTGCGGGCGCGCGTCCCGGGCAACCCCACGCCCCTGCCTCGCGCGCTGCCCGCGCCATGAAGCACATCCCGGTTCTCGAGGACGGGCCCTGGAAGACCGTGTGCGTGAAAGAGCTGAACGGTCTCAAGAAGCTCAAGCGCAAGGGCAAAGAGCCGGCGCGGCGCGTGAACGGCTATAAAACTTTCCGATTGGACTTGGAAGCGCCCGAATACGGAGCCGCCGCCACCAACGGGCTGCGGGACAGGACCCAGCGGCTGCAGCCGGTCTCGGCCCCGGTGGCAGCCCCGGTGGCGCCGGCTGTACCTTCAGGTGGGGCCTCGGACACTGCGGGGGAGCGCGGAGGCGTCCGGGCGCCGGAGGTCTTGGACGCGCGAAAACGCGGCTTCGCTCTGGGCGCAGTGGGGCCGGGACTCCCCACGCCGCCGCCGCCGCCGCCGCCGCCTCCAGCACCCCAGGGCCAGGTACCTGGAGGTCCTGACGCACAGCCTTTCCGAGAGCCCGGCTTGCGTCCCCGCATCTTGCTGTGCGCGCCGCCTGCACGCCCCACGCTGTCCGCGCCCCCTGCGCCCCAGGAGTCCTCAGTGCGCCCCGCGCCCCCCGCCCCCCCCACGCGCCCTGGGGAAAGTTCCTACTCGTCAATTTCACACGTAATTTACAATAACCACCCGGATTCCTCCGCGTCGCCTAGGAAACGGCCGGGCGAAGCTACCGCCGCCTCCTCAGAGATCAAAGCCCTGCAGCAGACCCGGAGGCTCCTAGCTAACGCCAGGGAGCGGACACGAGTGCACACCATCAGCGCTGCCTTCGAGGCGCTCAGGAAGCAGGTACCGGCTTGCGGCTGAACACCCTCACTGCCACCGGGGACGGTTGCCGCAGTGGGTGGGTGAATGAATGGTCGGGGACTTTGGAGGATGAGGGAGAACGGGTCGAGATGTCCCCACATGGTCGAGACCAGGATCCACACAGGTTTGGCCCTCCTGGGGCAGTGATCTATGCCTACAACGTTGGCTCTTAGTTTGCAAAATAGAAGGGTGAAGGAGGCTGAGATCTCTGGCCCGGGCACGCCCTAGTCCCCTTTGCTCACTCGCGCGATCCTGTCTGCGTGTCTGACTTCAGGCCTCATAGTTCAGTTTTATGGCAAGCAGTTCATTGGTTTCCAGGAGCCCCTTGGGTGCGATGGGTAGTGAAGATGGGGAATGTGGCACTCTGCTGCCGGCGAAAAAGGAAGGAAGATCCTTCCCTTTTGGGTATTTTGCTTGATCCAGGTCTTGAGAGGTCTGGAATGCTGTGGAGGAGTGGACTTGGGGTTGCAGGAATATGAACATAGGGCTTTGAGGGAAGCCTGTCAGCCCTCTTCTGTCCTAGTTCCCAGCAAGGATGTCCCCATGCTTAGGTTTCCTCTGGGCAAAAGCTGCTTTAGCAATTGGCCAGTCTTCCCAGGAGATCTCCATAGCAGTCCTTTCCCCTGTGGTGAAGGAGGCTCGGCTGCAGGTTAGCTAGGGGAGCTGCAGAGCCTAGTTCTGGAGTAGGTCAGGTGCTTCTCAGTCTGGGATTGGTAGGGGCTGCCTTCACCAGATAAATAAGGGAGACAATATTTGTCCAAGAGTTATCCATAGTGGGGAAGAACAGTTTTACAGTTCTACTTTAAACAAGGTTGGCACTTTCCTGGGGTTCTAAGGTTCTCCAATTCTTAGAGAGAAGGGCCATCTAAGAAGAGAGCGCCAAGTGCTCACTGCCCACACCATGCAGGGCACGTGGAGGCCGGGGGTGGATGAAACTGGTATGAACGGTCAGGGTTTTTACTTGCTTTGCAGCTGACTTCCAGTGTGGCTGCAGGACAGTTACTCAGCCTCTCTGGGCTTTAGCCAACAACAAAGCTGGTGAGAAAACATGATTTTCTTCTCGGATCACACTCTTGTCTTCCTCCTGTGAGTGGGGTGAGCAGTGGTACCTGTGTCCATCCATGAGAAGGGAGTTGAACTCTTGAGGAAAGAAGCTTGCTGATTTTTGAACCAATGTCTTGCTTAGGTTTGGGTAAGATGTTTTGTTAGCGAGGTGGAGTGGAAGGTCAGGTCATAGACTGTCTTGACCGTCTGTCATAGACCAGATGGGGACACTGCCCACACCAACTGGAACATTGGGTAGCGGGCCCTGTGGGTGGGTCAGGCCCACCCTGGCGCAGGGGCTGTGCTTCTGAATGCCCATGTCCTGTCACCCCCCTACCCCCAGGACAGAAGGATGACAATGGAGCACAGAACTTCCCGTCTGCCTTCTCACCATGCGCTAGGGAACACCTCCCAGGTTGGGGCAGACACGTGTCTACAGCATCACAGCTGGTGGGGAGCAGCACAGGCAGGCATGGAGCCCCTGCCCGTTCAGCGCCCCTGCTGCCCCTCCAGTCGCCTCTCTCAGTTCCTAGTGAGAGAATATTCATGGCCCCTGAGTGCTGTACTACATCCCATTTGTCCAGTGGTTTTCATTTCTTTCAGTAATAAGTTCCATCTGATTTGACCCTAACATCCCATTTTGTGGGATGGAAAACAGGCCTGGAGAAGGGAGGAGGCTCGTCTCAGTATCCTAGTGCATTAGGGAAGATGATGGCTGTTTCTGGAATGCCCACCTGGCCAAATGCTTTCCATGGTGCCTTCCACATCAGTGTCGTGGGCTCCCCACACCCACCTATGGCGTGTCACAGTTGGAGACTGGGTGTACACCCAGCTGACTCTGAGGAGAAAGTATGACCCTGGCCTGCTTCACTTTTTGTGGGGAAGTTCTATATAAAAGAAACACATTCAGGGAGAGGCCTGTGTGCACGGACAGGCAAGTGCACACACCCGTGATCCTTGTTCATTCCTGAGCACCCACAAATGTGTGGCCGCA